CTATGATGAATTTGCAAAGAATACCATGTTGTGTAATCTTCAAGAGACTTTTGAAAGCATTTAAAATGTGCTTGTTTTCTCAAAGGAGCCAGAATATAGGATAATATGAAACATGTAGATGAGTAAATGAGCAGTGGAACATGCAGGAAATTCCCTTGGGTTTGCTGTTTATTTAAGCATTGTCTGTATATTTGTTATTTGGAGTCGTTGGGAGCCTCAGGTTTTACACTTCTCACTGGCAATTCCCCTTGCCCAGGTAACAACATCAGGTGACAAACTACAGCTTTCAGGAGGTGAGGCTGCATCAAATCCATCAAGTAACTTGTGCTGGATTTTATCAAAGTGTTCTTTTCCTACAGGAATAGGTTTTGGGGACCGGACAAACACCTTCTGTGGCACCCCTGAGTTTCTGGCCCCTGAAGTGCTGACAGACATCTCGTACACACGGGCAGTGGACTGGTGGGGCCTGGGGGTGCTCATTTATGAGATGCTTGTTGGTGAGGTAAGGCCAGCTTCCCTTCCCTCAGGGAATCTCACTAACCAGGCTTGGGGACCTGACCACCCGAAGTAAAATTTTGCTAAATGTAGCCAAATTGTTTATTAGTACTTCAGTTATATTTTTCTCATTCATAGTGATTGCCAAACAGTAATTAATCCATACAACTCCCTGCTATTCTCAGGCTTATTTAATAGTGAGGAATGGGTGCTATGTGGATTGAATAATAGAATGTCTCAATTGCAGTCACCATTCCCTGGAGATGATGAGGAGGAAGTCTTTGACAGCATTGTCAATGATGAAGTCCGGTATCCACGATTCCTTTCAACTGAAGCACTTTCCATAATCCGTAAGGTAAAGGGCTGATGGGTCTCTGGGAGCCTGAGGAATTTGCATTTACTGTGTAAGTAGATCCAGAGGGACTTGATTAGGATTGTACAGCATTTGTGTGTGTAGTCTGGAGCTGCCTACATAGGCTAAGGGAATATTTAAAATTTGCACTTATTTTCTCTTCCTTCTCTTCATATAAATGCAATTCTTCTGTGTAAGGATGACTAAGCAGGCTGCCTACTGTTCCTGCTAAGTCTGGCACAGAGAAGTGTTGATTCAAGGGCAGGAATGTCAGAGCCATTCAATAGAAATGGCTGGATTCAGTTTTTGAATGTGACCCTATAGTCACAGGTGCACAATTAAGCTGAGATGCTCCATGCAGTTTATGGCAGGTATCTTATTGCTGTTGGAAAATTGTTTACAAGGAACTAGGTCTGAGTTATTCCTGGCAGATGATGACCTTGGTGCAAAGTGAGAATGAGGAAACACCGAGGGATCAATCCACTGCCTTTCTTTTGTTTTTCTCTCCAGAACATTATTTCTGTCCATCCTTGTTCTCATTGTTTAATTTTGAACTGATATTTCTGCAGCTGCTTCGGAAATGTCCAGAGCGTAGACTGGGAGCAGGGGAAAAAGATGCAGAAGAGATAAAAATCCAGCCCTTTTTTAAGGTAGGAACTTGGTTTATATTTCTCCCTTATTTCTTGTATTTGAGCAGAGTGATTTTCTCTCTGTTGGTATTGAGGCTTGTTTCCCTTTGTTATCAGGGAGATCTTAGTGCACCTCATTGATCCATTCAGGACTATGTTTCAAGTCTTGCTTGAAATGACAAACCCCAAGTCTGTTTTCTGGGATCTTTATGTTTCCAGATACAGTTTATTTCTGATCGTGCTGCTTCTATGTACAAATATACTTCACTTTAGAGACATGAACAAATATTCCTTTTAAAATCAAACTGCAGCATCAAAGATATTATCCAGTGATGACAGTGATTGTCAGTCAGTCTATTTGATCACCTGCATTTTCAGGATACACATGACTCTTAAGAGAAATGGAGGTTAAATTGCTTTGTGTCAGGGGTACGTGCCTGTTCCAGGCAAAAGTGTTGCCATCCCTCCTCATTATTACTCATCTACCCAAAAATTTTTAGCCTTATAACCCTTGTCTGGCTTTGCACTGGAGCTAGAAAAGAACTTGGATGTCAGCAGAAATTGCTGGGATCCACACATCCACCTGGCCACGGCTGAGCTGTAGTTCTGTTCCTCCTATATACAGTTGTTGCTGTAAAATACACTGCATGGAATCTCTGCACCACCTCCTGTGCTGTTTGTTTTGGGCTTTTTTCAGTTCCCTCTTTCTTTTTTAATTATTGGAAGTAAGACATCTTGCAAATGATCCGTGAAGGATGCTGCATTTCTCCCTCTGACTTCCACATTTCATAATCTTTGTGTCAATCTGGCCTGTTGCCTTCCTTTTCTTACAGGGAATTGACTGGGATGCCTTGTTTGCCAGGAGGCTGAAACCCCCCTTTGTGCCCACATTAAAAGATCCAACAGACATCAGCAACTTCGATGAAGAGTTCACTTCCCAAAAGCCAATCCTTACTCCTCCTGAGGAGGTTTCTCTCCTAACCCGTAAGGAGCAGACTGTCTTCAAGGATTTTGACTTTGTTTCCAGACACCTTTTAGCTGTGTGATTCCTGGGCTATAATAACACGAAGAGACTGTTACCACCTTGAGAGAACAGAGAAGACTTTGCATGGCCAGTGGAAAAGCCAACAGGATTTGTAGTACAGGTAGTGCTGATGGCCCCAGGATGAGGTGCCCTGAATTAACCTGCTGCGGGTTTTCCAGCCCCATTTGTTGGAAGGATCCTGGATGTCAATTACCCTTAAGAAATAATTAACGTTTGACTGAGTATATCTTCTTCTGTCATTGAATGTAGATGAAATTTGGAATTTAAGCTGGACTTGATGAAATCAAATCATCTCTGCGACCCAGGTTACTCTTTGCAAAAAGCCTAAGTAAGTAGAGTGACTTTTTAAAGTTGTAGCATAGCAGGGGAATGGCCACTTCTCACTGATTTTCTAGAATTGCAGCATTCCCTCCTGGTAATGGTTTTATGCCATTTCCCATTCATAAAAATGTGTATGCCAGACAAGGAATGGATTTTCACTACCGAGACAATGATGTTTGATAATGATCCAAGTGATTTATTGGAAGGAATATGAATCTTTCTATTTAAGGATGCCAACTCTTAGCTATTGTTTTTAATGATATCAAACTCCACAGCTTTGCACATGTTTTTTTCTTTTTTTGAAAATAAAGTTATCTTTCCATATAATAAATATTCAGCTTTTCATCTTCTTTGCGTCAGCTGAATGCTTCAGATCAAACCAAATGCTAACCAAAATGCTTAACAAACAGGCAGGACTTTAATTTTCTCCATAAGTGCCAGTAGTAATATTTTTTTCTTCCTTCCTTCTCACTTAGGTTGTCTCTGTACATACTGCACGGTGTCATCAGCTGTCAGATATCAATGACTGCAGTCAGGTTCTCTCTCCATAGATTTTATCAGTGTGTACATCCTGTATAATTTTTGGGGACTGCTAAGTAATTACAGTTAGTACTGGAAAATCAGTGAGTTAAAGGTGATTTCATTGCCTCGTAATCTATCTTGTAATTATACTTGGTAAGATACATTTTCATGTCTTAAATTCATAATGTTAGATCATTGGGCAAAAAGGGAAGGGTTTTTAGAGATGAGGCATCTGATGCAAACAAGGACACAATCATTGCTCTTTCAGTTTGTCTTTACCAGATGGAGACAGGAGTTGGACTAAGGCAGCTGTGCTGTAGCTGGAGACAAGGATCTAGGGAATTGTTAAGCCAAGGCAGGTCCCAGTGCTTCAGGATTCAGTGAGGTAAGAGCTCTGTTTGTACAAACCAGGGATACTTCACACTCATCCTACATTTCCTATTTTCATAGCCAAGTATAGCTGTTTCTGAAAATTCCCATGTACAAAGATCCTTTCAACCTCCTGCTCAGCCTGGCAGTGCACTGGCCTGTTTAGAGCAGGATACACATTTTCCTCACTCTTGTCTGAGTGGCAGTTGCTGTTGGCCCCCGTGGTGTGTTTTGTGGCTTTAGTTCAAGGCCACTGTGCAGTGGATTGTTAGCACAGATGAAACCTAGAATTTGGGTTCAAAGAGAGAGTCATAGAAAATTTAAAAATGCATATTTAATCTTTTATTTTATAAGTTAGGGTTGAGTAAAAAAAAAAAGTAAATTAACACCCAGGTGTATTTTAAAGAAATACTAAAAAGAGCAAAACTGCTTTGAGCTGTTGTACCTGCTGGTAAACTTTCACTTGACTGATATTTCAAGAACCAGCAATTGCAATGTGACACATGATCCACACTTTAGCAGGTATCACAGCAACACAAGCAAACTGCAGAATCCTTCTGAATGGTGTAGCAGCTTTTCAAAAACAATCCTTAGTATTCTGATATTCCTCTGATAAAACTTCTACCCTGAACAAACCAGACTGTGCACAGATTACAAACTCTGGGGCTGGTAAAAAAAGGGATCTTTTGCTGCATTTAAATTGCTTTTGGACTGTCATGCTGTGTTAGTAACTACACTGTCTTTTCATGAGTTTTCATCAACTTTAAACCCTGAGTGCTTCTGAGTTGGTGCTAATTCCTGAGCCAAGACAATTAAGGCACAAGATAATTTTAACTAACATTTTGTTGTGGTGGTTTTTCTTGTTTCAACAGAAAAAGGTCAGGACTAAAATTCACACCACAGCCTTTTTTGTTTTAAAGCTAAGATCGGTCATCCCAAACTTCCTTTTAGTTCCCCATGGAAATCTGAAGTATGATCTTTTATTTCAATGGAAAACAGATCCTTTTGCTGCTGTCCTGAAAGCTGTCAGCATCTCTCATCTCAGTTAATCAACCAGGACCTGGCAGCTTTCCTCTTGCATTGCAATTGTATTTTATTAAAATGTCACTAGTTAGTTGAGGTAGTAGTAGTTTTACCAACAGTGTTACTTGAATTAGGCAGGAGGTACCCACCTCTGCTCCTGCTTCTCTCCCAAGCTACAGCAAAGGCCTGAGCACGACATTATCTACAGAAATAACTCAGTAGCCAAGGATTACTTTTCTGTCCAAATTCACTGACTTGATTCAAAACAGTGAATTGTTAGCAGCATCATCAACTTAAAAAGCCATGAGGAAGCTGTTCAGGGTATCAAAAAATACACATTAATTGTCTCATAAGATTAATTTGGATGTCTTACAGCTCTTTCTCATGCACATTAACAGTATAAAGCCTTAAGCTTTTGTGGAAAGTATTAAGTTGAGGCATGTCAACAAAATAAAATTTGCTTTTGACTCTTTAAATATTTACTCAAATACTTCTCTTACATGCCTGATGCTACTGCCAAAAGGCACTGCAGTTCTCACAGTCAGAACTTGGCTGAAAAAAAGCCACAGGAATTACACTGATCCTGGCTGGTTTTATCTGTAATTGCTGCTGTTCCCTAGCAGCAAAAGGGAGGGAGACCTTGGAGAAGTGAACACGAATAGTAACACTAATCTTGCATTTCTTCTGGAGAGATGTGGATGCACTTAACAAAAATAAATAAATTTAGAGAAATACTTTGCTCAGTCTGGAGATCAGCTCTGCTGGCTTTGCCCTTCCCAGAACTGGATTCCTGCCTTTAACAGTGTTATTTATATATAAAAAATAACACTGAATATCCCTGAAGTGTAATTTGCAGATGAACAGGTTGTGGAGCAGGTTGCATAGTCCATGATGCATTAAAGTTCAGTGCAAGAAAACAGCAGCCCTTGCATTAGCAAAGCTTTACCCAGCAGTCTGCCAGGTGTGTTGGCACACGAGGACTAGACAGGCTCACTGTTCTTGTGAAAATAGATGTTCTCCCATGCAGTGAGGTGGCGTGAACAGAAGAATCTCCAGAGATTGAGGATTATGCCTTGGTCAAAGGGGTTCTCCAGCTCGGAGTGCCGCAGGTAGGAGATGCGATGGTGTGACATGAACTCCCAGGTTGTGGTGTTGCATGAGATCAGGTACAGGTGGGAAACAAGCAGCAGCAGGACCACAATGGTGAATATGAATATCAGGAAGAAGGACACAAGGAGGAAAATGTTGTGCTGCAGCCACTCCCGGGATTGTTCAAAGTAGAGGCCTGACCTTTCAATTCAAACAGAAATAAATCTGCAGTTAAAGAAGCAGAACTAGTTTCATAAACTATGCAAACCAGATGACACATTTAAGTTTGATTCATAACTAATGAGCTGCTGATAATCCTCAACTAAAGAGAGTTAATATACTATGAAGAGACTGCACCACAGGGATTGGAATCTAGTTTAGAAGATGCTGTTTCCCCTGACAGCTGTGAGACACAGTCACCCTGGGTTAACTCCTCTCCTGAACAGCTGGAACCCTGTTGGAGTTTCCAGCACTTGAATGTGTAAACCATGTGTAAATGTGTTAGAGTGACAGAGTCAAAATCAACAATGAAACCTAAATTATCAGATTCTGCTCAAGATTAGGGGGCTGCAGGATGCAAAAGAGGGTGAAGATCCAAAGCCAGTCCAGCCAGTGCTATGTTCCATGCCAGCCTGAGGAGCACCACAGCTTTCAGCAGTCTCAGAGGTCCAAATGCCATCTCCCAGCCTTACCAAGCAACATGGCCTCCCCATAGCAGAACCACAAGCTGCACACTCAAGTACACAATGAAGAGGGGGTGATTCCTTTCTCCTACACAGTTCTCAAGCCAGGGGCAGTGATGGTCGTAGCGCCGCACGCAGTGCTGGCACAGCTGGCAGTGCTTGGCTCGCATGGGTTGCTGCAAAACACAATCAGAAAAAGAAAAAACCCACTGGCTACTGCTCATGGCTGTCTCACTCCTGTTTGGTAGAAGAGAACATCATGCAAATCTGTCTTTCTCCACAATATTGTCCCTAAAACGCTTGTAAGACAACAGCACATCAACATTTCTAAGACAAATTAAAGGGATTGTGATTCTCCTGGTCAAGACTCAAATGGGTGGCATTCAAATCAAGTGACTCTCCCACACTCCTCCTATTCAGACATTTTCATTATTATCTACCCGTTACAGGAAGTCCAGTGTGCCAAGGAGGGAGAAAAGCCAATCAGTGTAGTCAGGAAAGCATAAGCCAAGGTATTGAGGTGAAAAACTAGGACCACTACTACCAAATAGAGTGGGCAGGGATGCAGTGCTTTTTGGGAATGCATAGAGAAGTGCCTCCATGTGAGTACAAGGCACTTGCACAGAAAACAGCTCAATTACCAGGCACAGAGAAGGTGAAAGACCTGGCTGAGAAAAGGAGTGCTTCCTAGGATTTGTCCCCTGCAGTGTATAAATGCTTTCCCAGCTTTTCCTCTTGCAGTAAGCTCATTCCTCCTGGTCGATACACTTCAGGAATTTATGGGAGCTGGAGTAATGCTTAATTTCATTAAACTGATAAGGATCACCCTGAAAACAAGCCTTTCTAGGCTTTAGGTAGACTGTTTTAAGAGCTAATTTCATTATTGTAATTTCTCCTTCATGCTGTCTTTTGCTATTCAGGCCAAGGTTTTGTTGTTTTAAGGCCTCTGAACAAGTTCACAACAATGAGCAGTTCCCACGTTACACTCAGCTGCCTTTCTGAGTATCAAGGTATTTTCAAAATAACTTCTTTGACAGTAGTGCAAATCTGGCAGACATGGCAGTAAGAATGCAGAATACAATTTTCTTATGGCAAAAAAGAGATTCTTGTCTCTATAAGCCAGCAAGGACTTGTTTCAGCCTTGGAAAACTGGCCTGTGTTCATCACTACTACTTGTGTAGCTACATAGTCTGCCCAGCCTCCTCTGAGCAGGAATTACAGACCACCACCAGCTGCTGAAGAACAAGACAAGCTTTCAAATCACTCATCTCTTCCTCTTCCAGCACGTCCTGGATGCCCACCTTCACCAGGCAGTAACCACAGCGCCGTAGCTTAACGTCACCTGGAATCTGAGGGATCACCACACCTTGTCCTTTATCTTCACCTTCCTACAAAAAAGAGAAAGGGAGGTACTGAAGAAGGTTCTTGGACTGCTGTCTAGGCATGACTGAGCTGTCTTGCTGCATCCTTTTACTTAACAATTATACAGTGCTTGTTATCTCTGTCATTCCTTAGCAAAGTCATTCCTTAGAATTCCTACAGCGGCTGCAGACAGTTACGGTAGAGTGAGAGAGAACAGGTTACTGTAACCCTCCAAAGAATGTTTGCACAGAGGCAGAAATAACTGGACAAGATACACTCTGGGACAAAAACAAAGTTAGACTTCACTTCTAAACACAATGTCTTTTCAGTATGAGCAGTGCTAATTAGTCACACACAGCCAACACTGACATTAATGATGGATGACTAAGACTGATACTGCTTTTGTCCTACACAGTCTATAAGGCAGTGAACCTTGAGCAGACTAGCAGTAACTGAAACTTTGCATCTCAATTTATTTTACTGTAACTCGTTTGAGGATGTGTCCTCTGAGAGGGCAACAAATCCATAAAGAATTCAATAAGTAAAGCTGCAGAGAGCACTGTCTGCCAAGCCTACCTTTCAGTTCGGGGCTTTTTTTGCACTTGTACCACTTAGCAGTGGTTATTGTAAAATAGGTCACATATACATTCCACAAGGCACTGCAGCCTCTGCTCTAGGAGAGGACTTGGGCTCAAATGGCACAGGTACGTACCAGGGCAGTGTGGTATGAAAGGCACTTTTAAAGCCTGTAAACCCTATTGCTGTCACGAAATACCATTGTGAAACAGTCTGTTCTCATCTCCAATGGTCTGTACATGTGTCCTTCATGCCAGCACAACAGAAACTCTTTCAGATTGTTCTTACCTACCAGCGTGGAAAAAGTAGAAAAGCCTATAGACTTTACAGCTGCTCCACTTTGTTCTATTCATGAAGGGATTTACCTTTACTTCCTCTTCAGGCTTAACAAAACCCGGATCCATGAGGGACACCTTGAAGTACAGCAGGATCGAGCATAAAACCAGCAAAACGAAGATCAGCGGCTGAAGCAGCTCCCCACGCTCCTCTTGCTTTTGCAGATCTGAAAGGTACCCAGAAAAGACAGAGCAGCAGCTCCTTGTGAAGCGTCCGGGATTTTTCTCTCTGGCCTCAGCAAAGGGGTCACGAATCTACGAAGAGGAAACGGGGAGTGACCAGGCGGAGAGAGGGCGCGGGGCGAGAGAGGAGAGGCTGAGAAGGGGCTCCCCAGGCCCCGCCTTCCCTCGGGGCACCCACCCGGGCGACCACTGCCCGTGTCCCGCAAGGGCCACACGGCCCGGCCGTGATCCCCGTCCCCCGCCTGCCCCTGGGGGCGGAGCGGCCCCGGCCCGGCCCCGGCCCCCCCCTCCCCGCGGCCCGGCCTCACCCGTGCGGTGCAGGAGGAGCCCGAGCGCCAGGGCCGCGCTGAGGGCCGTGTGTGCCGCCCGCACCCAGCGCCCGCCGGGGCCCATGGCCCCCCGGCTTCACCGGCTCCGGGGCTCCGCCGGCCCGGAAGGCCTCAGGGCAGCGCCGGGCGGGACACGGGCAGCGCCCCGAGGCGGGGCCAGGGTGGTCCAGCCCTGCGGGGGAGGCTCCGCTGGGGTGTTGGGCTCCTTCCATTGCCCGTGTTCTGCTGCCTCGGGCTCGGCACGTACCGTGTGCCAGGGTCACCGGGCTCCTTTAGTCCCCCACACCGCCTCGGCGTTGTTGTGTCCTGCGAGACCTTTCCTCAAGGAACGTGTTTTCCCTGCGCCTGTCCTGCCGCCCTCGCCCCGGGCTGTGGAGTGCAGGGCTGGGCAGACTGGGCAGACGGGGCAGACCCTCCGTTCAGCGGGGCAGGCACTGCTGGGTGCACAGAGCTGTGGCAGGGTCTGGCAGTGATGGGTCGGGCTGCAGGTGACGTTCAAAGGCTCCTCGAGGTGATTCCCGAGGTGCTGCACCGTGTTAACCCTGCTCTCCCCTACGTGGTTATCCCATGTGTTGGTTTCCAGCCCCCGGGAAGAAGCGCAGAGAGGCTGGAAGCAGCTACACGGCCCCATTAACCAAACAGAGCCTGGAGAATGCCTGACATAACTCGAGGAAAGATTTATCTGGTTGAGATGTCTGCAGTCAAGAGGCTCCTGGCTGGATGAGGTCATTGAACTCCTCCGAGGGCTGCCGAGGGAAGCAGGTGTGTATAGACCCTTCCTAGCTGGAACAGACACCTAAAAGCAATTGAATTGTACCTGAGATGCATTTTTGTCTCTTGCTAACAATAACAAAAAACACCGAGGTGACTAGAGCACATATATATTTACACTTTGAGTGTCTAAGGGAGATAAATGTCATCACAGATCTGTAGGTTCCAAAATCAGTGCTTTCTCTTTAAACTCCTTTTCAGTTTTAACATAGATAAATCTTGCTGCTTTTGTTACCTTCTTTCCCAATAAAAATTTGGAAAGAAATATCATATTCTTTATAAATTTACCCTCCAGATCATATTCTTTATAAATTTACCCTCCAGCATCTGACAAATAGTGGATTCCTTGGTATTGTTTGCCCACAAATTGATTATGTTAGTCTCTTCACATGAGTCAGTGGCCACCTGCTGATGCCAGGAAAGCACCTGGTTGTGTGGGTCACTTAAATGGTTTACCTGAGACAGCTGGGTTGAAATGTTAACAAAAATTGTCGACTACATTTCCAGCGATCATTCAACCCCCTTTTTTTTTTTAAATTCTAGGTAAATGCAAAGCCTACAGCTCTCTTCCCTCAGACACCTCAGGCTGTATTGGTGCTTGGACAAAGGTGAGTAATGTCTATCCTTCTTCACAGAGGTGTAAATTTTAAAGCCTAATGAAAGCAATTTCAGTAATAACATTATCCACTTGAAAGTTGAAACATTTTGATATTCTAGAATAATCTGTCCTAAGGAATGTATTCTCATTCTCTTTGTGATTAAAATAATTTGGTGTATGTTACTCTGTTTATCTTCTCCTTTGAAACCTGTCTTGCAGAGATCAGAGCTTATCTCTTGTCTCAAAGGTTTAAGCTTCAGTGACTGGTTGAAATTAGGCACAGTTACAGAAGGTCTCTACTAGTACGTTTCTGAGTGGAGATTCTTGGTTCCTATGGCATTCCAGCTTGGAAGGCTAAGGTATCTGTCTGTACTCTTACAACATGGCATGTTTTCAGAGGCACTTCAGTTTCATACAAAAACTCCTCCCAGCCTGTTCACCTTGCTTCTTTACAGATTCCACAGTGACCACTGAATTAATTGAGCCCTTCCAGGACCAGGTTTTAAGAAGAAAGTCAGGCTAGCCTTAAAGCAGATTGGCCTTTCTTAAGTGTGCAGATCCTGCCCCTTACAAAGCCCAGGCTGTGGAGTGTGAGCAGCAGATACATTACAGAGTTCAGAGCAATCTGGACACTCAAATATTGTCCTGATTTTTTTTCTCCTTTCACACAACTTCCTAACAATGCTCTTGTCCTCCACGGTTTTCTTCTGTTGACAAGCATTACTGTGTCTTTTGGAGTGATGAAAGGCAAAGGCACTGAATGGTATCATCAACATGTGGCAGTTCCTTTCATTTTTAATTAAATATATGACAGCCAATGGACCAGTAATGTACCTAAATAAACCACATTCATAGAACAAAGGAACAAGACACTCTTGAGCACTAGGTTTAATACACAGCGGGTATCCAACGGATACAACAGAAAAGTTAATTCATTCAGAATTGTAAGGAAGCAACAGTTGTGCATTTTCATTTTTTTTGCTCAGGTTCACCAGGTACAAACATCTGAACCAGGCCTTAGCATCAGGCAGGTCCATGGACAGAGTAAAAGGAGACGCTTGCTCATTATAACTGAGGGTATTTTCATTGCAAAACAAGGAAATACATATTTAGTTAGCTTAAAAACTTTTTTTAAAACAAGAGTTACAGAGAGAATCAGAGACAATTATATGAAATCAAAACAGTCTGCTAAAGCAGAAGTGTTTCAGTTCAGCAAAGTATCTCCCTCATTCCTCAAGTACTCTCTTCTCCTTCAGCCCCCATTTTGCTTTTTATCTATTCCTGATGACTGTTGCCCTCTGTGCTTCATACACATACATGGTTGTCGTGGAGACCAGCTGTTCCCCTACTTTTAATTCTCTTTTTCCAGCACAAGCTGTCCTCTAACACCTGAGCTGTGGCAGACTCCTCCCTTAACAGTCTCAAGGAAATCTCTTTTCTATGGATAGTGCCTGACTGCAGTGCCCTCTAGCTCTTGCCCTACTGGTAATTAATTGCCTTCTTCAGGTAATGAGAGTGAATTGACTCACAGCTCCAAGACTTTTCTTCCCACTCATCTTTTGCAGAGACCAGAGTGACAGCAACAGGAGCCCAGCCAAGGTGACAAACTGGGTAGAATTCAGTGCTGAAGAGAATCATTTCAGTAGGAAGGTGCAGGGAAACAGCAACCATGGTGCAGATTAATTATCTGCAGTGTTCTGATTGCCACAAATATCAGTGCTAAACTTTCTTGGCTTGGTCTAGATGAGAAAGTCTGGTGCTTCTGGGTGTTAAACATCATCCAAGTAGATGCCAATCCTTATGAGCAATTCCTCCCACAGATCTTGTAAAATGGAAGCACTGGTGGGAAGTTGCTCACCAATTTGCTCTTATCTGCTCCAGAGAATATGGACACCTGGCACTGCTGGGTCACTGACAAGGGCCACTGGGGCACCCTCCAGCCAGGAAGGAAACCACACACAGTTCAGGTAGAGGGTTCCTTTGTTGGCACAGTCTCTGCAGGGAGCGGAGCTACTGAGTCGTGTTCGTGCTCTGCTTGCCAAGCTTTGGAATCTTAAAGGAAATGTAGTAGTGAAAACATGAAGAGTCTGACTGGGCCAACAACTACTGAGCACAAGGAGCCCCTCTCCAATATCCTTCCACACTATGAACTTCTCTCCAGCTGGATTTTCTTTTGAAGAATGGAACCCCGTTCTGGTTTTCTGAGCAGAGTTGGTCACTGACTGTAGAATTTTGTGTGGAGCTGAAGTTTCATGGCTTGTTCCTTTGATGCAGCAAAGCTGGAAGGCCTGAGAGGCATCCCTGGAGCAGTCAAGCATTTCAGGGTATACAACTTCCCCTTTTACATTAAACCTTCATAAAAAATCTGCTACTTTGCCCTCCTTTCCTTTGCAGAACATTGATGTGATGTCTGCAGGCAACCCTCCTGTTCTGTCCTCAGCTCTGGATCTATGGCACTAGTTAAATCCTTGCCATCAAAAAACGTTTGCAGGTCATGCATTATGTTTGTTTCAGTTAGAGAAACTAAGGCCCAAACTTATTTCAGACTTCCAATTAGAGGAATTGTTGGATTGTGCTCTGGTGCTCAGAGGATACTTTTCCCTCTTTCCTCCTTACTGAAGGGAAAATGTTACTTTTCAGCTCACAAAATCTTGAAGACACTGAAGCTTGTAGGCAAAGCTCATGTTACTCTAACAGGGGTGTTATTCCTTTTAATGCTGTCTTAGGCATTTACCTTGCTGGTGGCCTGACTCAAAATCTTACGTGAGGCTTTCTGAACAGCCCAGTTAAGAGTTCCCTCTTTCCCCTGGGACTGCTGACAGATTTCAGCAAGCTGAGCTTTCCTGACAGTCTGGCCTGGTTCCATTCATCTCCTTATTGCTGGGAAATCTTTTTATCCTGGTTCAGGCTGAGGCACAGCTTGCTGAGGGTCTGTGAGCAGTGAGGACAGAGGTTATCTTTACAGTGTGAAACAGCTTTGATGCAGTGTACATCTTGTTAGTTTGGGATGCTGCAGGTGAGACTCCAGTAAATGCTCAATTTGCAGAAGCACTGGTTTGGAAAACTCAAACCTTTGAGGTCTCAAGGCAGATAAAACCAAGCCATTGGTTGTTATTAGCCTTGATGTAGTTGTGCCAAAATCTCAGAGTAGAGCCCAACTGCTTGTCTTGGATTGCAGTGAGAGGCTGGGATCTGCTCCAGCTGAGATGGGAGGTCCTCAGTTCCACTGTCTCCCCAGTGTGGCAGCTGCTTTCTGGAGACAAAGCTTTCTGATACCTCACATCTGTCACGTGTTCCTTTCTGCTCTACTCCCACCTTGCCAACACAGTCAGAATCTTGAGTGCTTTTTGTCAATTGGTTCAAGATTTTAGTGGCAGGAGCTTTCATTACATAGGCACTGGAAAGGAAGCAGACGTGGTGGATGGCACTTCCATGTGAAACAACTTCCCAAGGACAGGAGCACTAAATGGGGAATTAAAGAACAAAGCCTGACTCCCCTAACAACCAAGGCTGTATTTGCAGCCCCTCTTAGTTCTGCATCTGCATTAGCAAATGTTACACAGAAAACACATCTTGAAATAAGTTTCCCCATCTCAAAGCTCATCGGGACACAAATTGTTGGGAAACAGGAATAAGAGAAAAATACATTTCAAATAACCGCAAAAAAGTATAATTTGTCAAGTTTTGCAAATCTT